GCAATCTTAATTTCTTATACTTTGAACATATTTCTGTTGTTGTTGTTATATGCCGTTGAGTTGCGTGCAACTCATAGTGACTCTATGTACAACAGTTCTGAAGTTTGCCCTGTCCTGAGCCAGTCACATTCACTCCCACGCACCTACGCCTGTTGCCCCCTATCAATCCATCTAATCTGGGGTTTTCCTCTCCTGCCTTGTTTCTTCACCCTTCCAAGCATGATGTCTTTCTCCAAGGACCAGTCCCTCCTGGCCATGTGCCCAGAGTAAGTGAGACAGAGATTCAAAATCCTAGCCTCCAAGGAAAAAGTTGGTTTCACCCTCTTCAAGTGAGACTTGTTTTCTTAGATGTCCACTGTATATTCAAGACTCTTCTCCAGCACCACAACTCAATTCTTCTGTCATCTTTAGTTATTGTTCAGTTCGCTGATGAATAGTAAGTAATTGCAAAGACCGTGGCCTCTATCAGGCACAACTAAGTCTCAAAATTGACACTGTTGCTTCTCAGTACTCTGGAGAGGTCCCTGACAGCAGATTGTCCCAGTGTAATTCATCTATTGATTTCCTGACTGCTAGTGCCAAGAGTGTTGATTGTGGAGCTGAACAAGCTGTAATTGTTAACAACCTCAATCTCTTCTCCACCCACCATGATGCTGCCAGTTGGCTCAGCGGTGAGAATCTTTGTTTTCTTGATGTTGAACTTTAATCCGTATCAGACTACAGTCCTTGACTTTCTGCAGCAACTAGTTCAGGTCCTCCTCAATTTCAGCAAGCAGGGTTGTATCGTCTGCATATTGTAGGTTGTTGATAAGTCTTCCTCTAATCCTGATTCCACAATTCTCCTCATAAAGCCCAGCCTCTCGGATAATCTGCTCTGAATATAGATTGAAAAGGTATGGAAACAGGATGCATCCCTGACGCTCTCCTTTCCTGATTTTGTATCATGCAGTATTTCCTGCTAGAAGAGGCTATTCCTTGGAAAATGACACCATTCTTGGAAAGGTGGAAGGTCAGTGAAAGAGAGAAAGATTCCCATCAAGATGGACTGACACAGTGACTGCTGCTATGGGCTCAAGTGTGTCAGAGATGGTGAGGATAGAACAGGGTAGGATAGAACAGGGCAGGGTAGGGTAGGGTAGGATAGGATAGTATAGGATAGGATGGGATAAGCTAGGCTAGGCTAGGCTAGGATTCAGATCATAGAGTTCATAGTGTCACTATGAGTCATACTCACCTCAGTGGTTTCTAATAACATATATAAAACTGTCATTTCAACATGTCTAATTCATGACCTTAATTATGCTCATCTCATTGTTTGACCATCACCATCATCCCTTTTCACATTTACCCATCACCCTTAACAGAAAGAAATCTTGATACAGGAGGTCAAGAGCAGAAGGTAGCCAAGCTGACTTCCAAAATCCTGCCTGTGCTTCTCAGCTGGACATGGGTGGGGTGGGGGACAGGCTCTATTTTTAGAATCCAAATGCAAGCTGAACCTAGTTTGTACTTGACACTGGGGGAGTCTGTTGTCCTCATCTGTCAAAGGGCACAGCCTTTCTAGAGTTATGGGGACATAAGGCATGCATGGCTCTCAGCTGGCACCTTCTCATGCCTGCTGGCTACTCCTATGTCCATGCGGGTGGATGGAGGCTTCACCTAGGGGGACTAGTGGGAGGTCTCAGCCGAAAATTCAAATCTAGGAAGTCTGTCTAAGTTACCTGGGACTGAAATAACAAAATATCACAAAGCAGGTGTCTGTAAAGAACAGAAATGTATTGACTTATAGTTTGGCAGTCAAACCAGGCAAAGTCTGAGCCTTTGCTGACTCCTTCTGAGGACTATGAGAGAAGAATGGCACCAAGTCTCCTTCTTGGCTTCTCGTGGCTGGAAGTCAGCAATGCTTGGCTTTCCTTCGTTATTATAGATGCATTTTCACAAAGAGCCTTCCCCCTGTGTGACTCAGTTTCCATCTATGTTCTGTAAAAGAAATCCCTCAGAAGGGAGCAGGACACACCCCTTCCTTGTTAAATGATGACTGATAATATCTCCAAGGAAAGAACCTATTTCTTTTTTTTTTTTTTAATTTTAGTTGTTTATTTTTCATTTCAATGAACATCTACAGAGATTTTGGGATTCCATTCATTCATTGTTGCCCCCCTCTCCCCGCACAAACCCCTCCCCCCTCCCCCCCCATTTGCTCCTCTCCTTGAAAAGCAAAAGAAAAACTCCCACATTGGTATTTAAAGTCATTGTGTGAAATGGTAGTTGTCTTAACGGTTAGTCACAGTTTGAAGCCTAATTGTAGAAAGTCCATACCTAAGGAGTTTGTAAATCTAAAATTCGCACTTGCTGAATAAAAATCCATCAGTGGTGGAACAAGGAGTCTTGCGTTAACAAGCTGCCTATGCGAGTCTAATGCTTTGGATGTTTGTGAACTGCTGGTACAGAGTGCAGGTAGAGCTGTGAGCTTGTTGGGGAGTCCTGACATCTGACAGTGGGGAGGGCATGGCTTGTGGGCCTTTCCCCCAAGGCCTCCTGTCTGTGAGCTCCGGGAGGGACCTGCACACAGTGACAAAGAAGCTGGAAGCTGGGCCTGGAGGTGTCAGGGGGTAGAGACAGCCTGGGGACCTGCTGGTTGTAGGAATGACAGAAAAATGTGAAATAGTTCCGATGTTGAACTCTCTGAGGGTATATTGGTGGCTGATGTGTGTAGTTCATCTTTAAGCTCAAGATGTGTGAATACGGACGTGTGTAGCAAGCACATTCCTCCATATGTTCCGAACTCAGAGCATTTTGTAACTGTCAAACCCATTTTTACCGCAAAAGCTGGCAGTGATGGCAGCATGCCCTGCTAGCTCCCAGGCCACACCTTTGCCACGTGGACAGTGACTGGGGGGACCACTCACTGGTTAGCTCAGCAGAAATGTGGATTGAAGGCCCAGAAGGTCTCTGATCTTCCCAGTGGCTTCTCTGTTCTTGAAAAGCTTTTTATGAAAGAGGTGAACAGGATGAGGTTATTTTGTAGCTCAGAGCTTTGACCTGTGGAACGCCACGGTGGCTTGTTGCATAACTTAGCCACCGTGGCATGTGATGCAGCCATGTTCCCAGCTCTGTGCACCCTCTGCAGTATCTGGGTGTCAGATCGGCCGGAACTCGGCATTTTCAGCTGAGGTCTAACGACCTTCTGTATGTCCCAGTAAAGGAGATTCATCAAATGCTCTATTTATCTGTTGCTGCATGCCACACCACCTGAGCAGTTGGTGGCTACACGCTGAGCACCGCCACCATCACCATAATTTAGCTGATGATTCTGCAGTTGGGGCAGCGCTGGGTGGGCTGGCTCCGCTCCTCAGCACCAGGTTTGACTGAGGTCGCTTGGCTTCCTTCGCAGCACGGCAGCTGGGCTCTCAGGGGGCAAACCTAGAAACTATAGGATTTGTTAAGGCCTGGCCTCAGAAGTCCCTGAATAGCACTTCTGTCACTTTCTCCTGGTCCAAGCAAGTCGACAGACTCCACCTCTAGATGGGAGAAGCAGCGTGCACACTCATGCGTGGAGGATTTAGTGGGGACTCTTCTGACAGTGATCTGCCATTCTTGCCCTCCCTCCTTCTGCCCTCTCTCCATTCTGCCCTCACTCCTTCAGCCTTCCCTCTCTCCCTCCCTCCCATCTTCTCTCCCTCTCTCCTTCCATCGAAACATACCAACTGTCACCTCCACTGTAAAATGGCAGTATACACTGTATGGAAAGAGTGAATGTCAAGATTTGTCATCTCTGCTAACCCTTGATGACAGGTACTTTACGGAAACTTTAACGATGATATTGTCAAGAGTTTTGCATTTTGTTTCATTTTGTCTGCTGTCTCTCGTTGGACTGGAAGTTCCTCTAAGAGACAATCTTTGCTCTCCTGTCTGTTTCCTGCCCAGCCCGTGGTGGGTGCCCAGTAAGAATTTGAGTGGCTTAGTGAAGAAAACAGATTCTAGAGTAACCATCAACTTTGTTCTGATGAAGTACTAATTTATATGGTACAGCTTTTAAAACCCCAAACCCTGCTTTTAGTTTTTCTAGTGTAAATTCTTCCTCGGCCAGTACCTCTTGTTTGTTGTTGCTGTGTCCCAGTAAGTCGTAACTGGCCCACAGCTGACCCTCCAGTGGGTTTTCAGAGGCAGTAGATCGCACGGGAGGAGACAGCCCAACCTTCTCTTGCAGAGCAGCTGCTGGATTCGAACCACATGCCTTTGGGTTAGCACAGTTCCTTACCACTAAGCCACCGGAGCTTGTTTTCTTAGCCACCCCCATTTACCATTACATACTTTGAGTGCATATATATTTATACTGTATGGTTGTATAGTAAGAAGCCCTGGTAGTGCAGGGCTCAATTGCTAACTGAAAGGTTGGTGGTTTAAAGCCGCTAGCTGTTCTGTGGGAAAAAGATGTAGCAGTTTGCTTTCATAAAGATTACAGCTTTGGAAACCTTAAGGGGTAGGTTTCTGTGCGGAGGGACAGAGTCAGAATCCACTTGATGGCAATGGGTTTGGTTTCTGTTATATATTAATACTTATAGGAAATATTTATATTTAGTACTACCGATCTTAAATATGTTACATAATATATATTTGTATATCATCGGGATGGGTGTGTCAGAGGCAATGAGATTGGCACAGGATAGAGCAGGGTTTAGGGCTGTTGTGCATAGGGTCGGTATGAGTCGCAAACGACTCGACGGCACATAACAACAACATATATGTGTATATATACATATATATATGTGTATATATATGTGTATACGTGTATATATGTATATATAGAAATAAATATATATACATATATACATATATATATATGTATATATATATGAAGGGACAAACTCAGTTGTTTGGGTCAAATGTCCATTTTTACTATTTTTTTTCAAACCACATAAGGAAAGGATTAAGGGCTGTGAGAAGTTGAGCAGCACCTTCCCAGCCCTGACTTCTCACACTTCTCTCCCGGCTGACCAGGAGCGTGAGGAGGAGGCCGCCTGTGTCATTATGTGCGCGTCGGTCAAGTACAATATCCGGGGTCCCGCCCTCATCCCAAGGATGAAGACCAAGCACCGCATCTATTACATCACCCTCTTCTCCATCGTGCTCCTGGGCCTCGTCGCCACCGGCATGTTCCAGTTCTGGCCCCATTCCATCGAGTCGGCCAGCGACTGGAGCGTGGAGAAGCGCAGCGTCCGGGACGTGCCCGTGGTCCGGCTGCCCGGCGACAGCCCGCTGCCCGAGCGCGGGGACCTGAGCTGCAGGATGCACACGTGCTTTGACGTCTACCGCTGCGGCTTCAACCCCAAGAACAAGATCAAGGTGTACATCTACGCGCTCAAGAAGTACGTGGACGAGCTGGGCGTGCCGGTGAGCAGCACCATCTCCCGGGAGTACAACGAGCTGCTCACGGCCATCTCCGACAGCGACTACTACACCGACGACATCAACCGGGCCTGCCTCTTCGTGCCGTCCATCGACGTGCTCAACCAGAACGCGCTGCGCGTGAAGGAGACGGCGCAGGCTTTGGCCCAGCTCTCGAGGTACCTACCGGGTGCCGTATTGTAATTTCTTTTTATTCACATACTCACTTATTTAATATTTTTATTTGTTATATTTTTAATCACAGTTTATAAAGAACTTGGATTTCCATTCATGCATTGTTGCCCATTCCCACCCTGTTCCCCTTACCCCCCAGTTCACTTTTTCCTTTGGGAAAAAAAGTTCTTTCATTGTTATATAGTACCCCCCCCCCCATCCCATACCTCTTTACTATGCAACTCTTATTCTAGATTCTTGTCATACCGATAATACCTAATCATATATTCCTTTTATACAATTCTCTCCCTCTTCTCTTTCAATGCCATGTACATTATTTATCCCTTCTTTTCTTAGTTTCCCCCTAACCCCCGTCAGTCTTGTTCTGTAACAGTGGCATTATGCAGTATTTGTCTTTTTATGACTGAGATATTTTACTCAGCTTAATGTTCTTCATGGTCACCCATTTTGTATAATATTTCATGAGTTCTTTGTTTTTCAGAGCTGCATAGTATTCCACTGTGTGAATATACCACAGCTTCTCAATCCATTCATTTGTTGATGGGCACTTGGGTTGTTTCCAACTCTTTGTTATTATAAACAAAGCAGCAATAAACATGGGTGTGCATTTATCTGTTTGAGTGGCAGTTATGGTTTCTTTAGGGTATATTCTCAGTAGTGGAATTGCTGGGTCAAATGGTATTTCTATTTCTAAATTTTTGAGAAAACGCCATACTGCCTTCCACAGTGGTTGCACCATTTTACACTCCCACCAACAGTGAATAAGAGTTCCAGTTTCTCCACAACCTCTCCAACCTGGCATTTTTACAGACCAGATGACGTTGGTTGGGTGTTTGTGTATCCTCTCTGGGAACCAAGGAGGGGGTGATGGTAGAGAATCTTTCTCCTCTTGAGCTGGCTTCCAGCTGCTGGCTCTTTTCCCCTGGAGAGGACGTGGATAGTGACTGACCTTCACTTGGGACAGGTCCTATGACAGGTCTCTGGGCTGGTGAAGAGGAGTTCACTGTCCACAGTACCATTGCTGTGGGTTCCCAGCTCTGCAGGGCTTAAAAACCAGGGGTGGTTGGTTTATTTTTATTGTGCTTTTCCTTTTCAGTTTAGAATTTCCCTCATCACTTGATTATCTCTTCCCTTGCACTTAACTGCCTGGGAAATCCGCTGGCAGGTCAGCTGTGAGTCAGTTATGAGTCAATGGAATTGAGCTTGAGTTTTTTAACAGGAAATCTAGAAAATACAAGCAAGCAAAGGGAATGTAAGTCACACCGAAGTCCTACCTCAAACAAATAGCTGTAACAAAATGAAATGTTTTCATGTTACCTTCCAGTCATTTTTGTGTTCACACACACACACACACGCCTATACTTTTATACTTTTGGTTTTCAACACTGAGATCACATTGGCTGTTCTTTTTTTCTCAGTGTGTCATGAAATGTGTTTCCAAATAGTTAATTTTTTTTTTACTCTGTGATTTTAATGGCTGTACCGTGTTTGATTTCATGGATGTTCCCTGAGACATTTAATGAGTTTTTCTTTTTCTTCTATTCTTTACTTCAGTTTTTCTTGCTCGACCAAATGGTGAATGTTTATGTCGTTTTCTGACTGTAAACAGTTCTGCAGTGGAGAAGCTGGAAGTGCATGTGCACCCGTTTTTCCCTGTGGACAATTCAGACTAGTGCCTGATGTCCTTTTAGGGTTCACAGAAAGTCACTGTGCACGTCTACGCCGTGGCCCTGCTTTGCCGTGGGGACACTTGCGACTTGTCATCTATTAATTGAATCTTTATTTTGCCTCTTCATAGTTGACCTTTGACCTCTCTTGTGTGTTTCATGTTTCAATAGGTGGGATCGAGGAACAAATCACCTCCTGTTTAACATGCTGCCTGGGAGTCCCCCAGATTATAACACGGCCCTGGACGTCCCCAGAGACAGGTGAGCATATTTGGGGTTGCCCCTTTGATAGATTTCTGAGGAGTAAGAAATGCAGGACCCTATTGTTCACGTGGAATCATACTTTAAGCTGTTTCAGTTCTCATGCTGCTATACTGCTATCACAAGTGAATGGCTTTACTGAACAGAAGTTCATTCTCTTACAGCTCAGGAAGCTGGAATCCGAGGTGCATGTACGCTGTAGGGGTGACCCTGTCTCTGTTGACTGTGGAGGAAAATCTTTGTTTCCGTAGGCAACTGTAGGTGCGGAGTTCCTGGAGTCCCCCATGTGCCTGGCCTTCCCCAGTATCAAAGAGACTCATTGTTCAGGGGTCTGGGTCCCCGGACAGGCACTCCTAGTTATTACTTCAGGTGTTACTAAGCTTCTCCCCACCATTTCCTCCCTTTTCCTCTCTAGTGGGATAAGGGGTATGAAAGGCCACATGTTAGGGGAGCTCCCCTTACACCCGATTAAGCCTGCGATGGGATTACAGAGTGCTGCAGGCCACCCTTAATACTCCTACAACTATTTTGTTTATCAGACCATCGGGGGTCGTTACGTAGCTCCCACACTGTGTCATTCATTATATCTAAGTATTACATGTATTATATCTATGTATTACAATCCAGTGACATAAGCTTACTGGGACTTACCTGGTAATCAGGGTGGTTTAATAAAATAGAAGTTGTCTTGTTTCTCTCAGGAAAACATGTACATGTTGAAGCTTGCTTAAATTTGTTGTGGAAACTCAGAACTTATTTATGTGCTAATACAACCTTGTAGCCTTTAAGAAAATGATCTTTGTGTGTATACATCTAGTATTGAATATACCATGGACTGCTAGGAGAACAAACATGTTCGTCCTGGAGAGGGTAAAACCATGCTGCTCCTTGGAGGCAAGGTTCTGAAGCTCCATCTGACATACTTTGGACGTGTTGCAAGGAGGGACCAGTCCTTGGAGAGGGACGTCATGCCTGGGAGGGTGGAGGGATGGAGAAAAAGAGAAAAAACCCTTGATAAGATGGATTGACTCAGTGACTGGGGTAATAGGGGTAGGTGTGTCAGAAACAATAAAGTTGGCTTAGGATAGAGCAGGGTTACGGTGAGTTACAACATGTTACAACAACAACCCTCTCACAGGGGAAGTTCTGTTGGCATTGTCCATAGAGAGTTGTGCTGTTTAGACCGAAAGGCGAGGTAGTTTGAATCCACCAGAGGCTTCCAGGGAGAAAGATGAGCAATTTCCTCCCCTGCATTTGACAACTTCAGAAACCTGATGAAGGTTTGAGGAGTTCCTGCCCGGTGGCGGTGGAAGTGGGGATGAGATCACCCCGCTGGCAGAGGCTCCCTCAGGTGACTGACTTTGAGTCCACTCACCGTATTTAGTTGCATTTTTGTCAGCTGATTGTAGCACATCAGCCAGTGACTTCTTGGAAAACTCAGTGATGAGATGCTGCCTCTGATATTTCTCCCAGTGCTTGGTTCAAGGTCTGAAAGAAATAGGAAGTTCAGATTCAAGATAAGGGTTCTACTTCCAAAACCCACTGTGTTCAAGTTGATTTTACTCATGACCAGTGATCTGTCATTGGTTTCTGAGGCTGTAAATCTTAGTGGAAGGAGACTGTCCATCCACACCCACTGTTGTTGGGCCACTTCAGACTTACAGTGACACTGCAGGAGGGGATTGACTATCCCATGGAAAGAGCAGACGAGGATATCTTGGAGGAAGTGCAGCCCGGGAGCTCCTTAGAGGAAAACATCGTGAGACTTCAGCGCACACACTGTGGCCATGTTGCCAGGTGGGTCCTTCTCTTGGAAAGGGATATCGTGCTTGGCAAGGTGGCAGACCAGCGAAAGAGAGGAAGACTCTCAACAAGAATGAGTGACAGTTACTTCAGCAATGGAGATTAAGCACCGTGAAGACTGTGAGGTTGGCACAGGATTGGGCAAGGAAGCCGACTGCCCTGACTGTCTGCCACTCTGGAGCTGGTGATGGGTTCTGATGCCACCCTTCTTGTTAGTAGGGGTGCATTTAACCACTGCATCACTGAAGCTCCTTACTCAGAGCACAGGCTTGCTGTAAGAGTTTATGTATGAAGTCCTTTATTACCAGCTTTAATCACTATAAAACATGTTTAGCTCTTGAAATTTTTTTTACTGAAAAAGGTAAGAGAACAGAGACCAGCTGTGTTCCCAGGTTGTTAGAGGCTAACACAGTCACTGTGAAAATCTAAACTCAGTACAACTGTTCCCCAGAAGATTAAATCTAAACCTTTTCTGCCTAAAGTGATTGTCTAGAATCAGTTTTGAGTTTCTGTCTGAAAGAGAAATTACCACTGAAAACCAGAACAAAGCCACTGCAGTAGAATCAGCTCCGACTCACCCTTCCATCGGATTTCTGAGGCCATAAATCTTTAATAGAGGCGGTGGCCCATCTTTTCCAGTGGGACAGCTGGTGGAGTTGAACCAGTGACCTTTCAGTTAGCAGTGCAACACACACAACACTCCCACCAGATCTCCTTATAATTACTACTGAGTCCCAAACCAGACCTACGCCTGTCAAAACAGCTCACTGTATGGTTAACAGTGAAACACACAACCAACTATTTGACACCAGTTGTTGCTGGTGGTGCCGTGGAGTTGAGGAGTTTATGTCTTCTCTAAGCCCAGGGGTTTATGTCTCACATCCCTCTGGAAGAGACTTAAACCCCTGGGCTTGGAGGAAACATGAACCCCTTGGCTTTGATGTAGGAACCCGTTTGGACGATAGAGGGCAGTCAGGACACACAAGGTCTGTGGGAACCAGCTAGGTGCCAGGTGAGAGCCCCTGTGAAGGTCCGTTCCACAGTGGCACCTGCTGTGGCATACCTTTGGGGGTTCTGGGCAGATGGAGGATCAGAGTCGATTGACATTATGAGGATCACACTCGAGATCAGAGAAGAGAAAGAAAAGAGCTGCGAGGAGGGCGGTGGCTTCGCCTCCTGTGATGAGTTTATTTTCAGGAAGGCTTGTTTCATTTTTTGCTGACAGTTTGATCTCTGTATCAGCCTGGGGGATGGATTTGATTTTGATCAAGTGCGCATGTTAACTAGGATTTTGTTTCTCGGCAGGAAAGCGACAAGCAGACCGGGGAAGGTCTCCGCTCTTTCTCAGGGCCCAGGTTCCAGGGTCAGTGGGGAGGGGGGACTCAGTCACTTTTCCTGTGCGTGTTTTGTTGTAAGTGATTATGGCTGATCCTGTGCTATGTGCTGAATCACCCGCTGTCTTCCTTTATCTTTCCACGCAGGCAGTTTCTTTTGAAACCAAAGTGGGCTTCGGGCTCAGAGAAGGAGTAGTAGATTTGTTTAATTCTTCTCATCCTTTGTCTTGCTCCCGGATTCCAAGGAGGCAAAAACCACGGGAGGAAGGGATAATTTTAACAGGAGCTGCACGTCAGATTGTTTGGAATTTGGAAACCGGCTGGGTTGGGTTAGATAACCCCTAGGTGGCCTAGTGGCAAGAAGCTGTGCTATAATATCAAAGGTGTGTGGTTCAAATCCACCAGCTCTTCTGCAGAAGAAGGATGGGCAGTTTCCTCCTGTGCAATGAACTGCCTCTGAAAACCTGCTGGAGGGTCAGCTATGGGTCACTTCCGACTCGACGGTTCATAACCACAAGCTCCTCTGAAGCCTAAAACGCCGGAGGTGGTCACTCTTACTGCAGAGTGATTTTACTCAGAGAGACTCCGGGGCCTGGGGTGGAGGAGTGTCTGCTCGGTGAATGAACTTTTTATGTTGCTGAATCAGTTTCTAAAACTCATACATATTGAGACACATGCACTTTCTTTGTGCAGATTTGAACAGCATGCAAATGTTCAAAGAGTAAGATGTAAAACTGCTTTCAACCCTCTCAACCTCTGTTCTTGCTCCCTCACTATGTACAGCATTTCATTTTCACTTAAGTGGGAGTGTATTTTATCACCTCTGTGACTTTCTTAGCAGGAGCTAGTCTCGAGAAGGGAGCTCTGGGGGCTTAGTGGTGGCGAGTTGAACCGACAACCTAAAGGCACGTGATTCGAATCCTTGAGCTGCTCTGTGGGAGAAAGACGGGCAGTCTCCTCCCATGTGATTTACTGCCTCTGAAAATCTGCTGGAGGGTCAGTCAGCTGTGAGTTGGCTCTGCTTCAGCGATGCACAAGAACAGCAGCACCCGGGGCAAGGACGTCGTGCTTGCAGACGTCGAGGGTCAGCAGTAAGAGGAAAGGCCTCAGTGAGATGGGTTGAAGCGGTGACCTCAGTAGTGGCCCCGACATGGCAGTGATTGTGAGCATGGCTCAGGGCCGGCCGGTGTTTCGTTGTGTTTTACGTGGGGTTGCTCCAAGTTAGACACTAATAATAATATGCAGGCGCTTTCCTGATCTTCAAGTGCTCAGATGCTTTCTGTGATAAGGTTGCTTACCACCTTGGAGTTTGAGAATTGTTTCTTTGCTCCCACCTCTTTCACAAATTTCCATTTTTATGTAGTTATGTATATTTCTTTAGACTTGCCATGGAGAATTTCACACACACACAAAAGATGGGAGAATTTCACACACACTGCCCCCCTTCCCCAGCTTCAGTTAGCAACTCAAGGCCAGTCTTGTCACATCTGCAACCCTTAACCTCCTAGAATAATTTCAAGTAAGTCTTAGATGTTGTAACATGATATCTGTAAGTATTTTAGTGTTAATCGCTGAATAAGGACCTTAAAAAAGTACTATTGTTAGTGCAGCAATGAATGACTGGATACCCTAAGTTTCTGTAAACTTTCACTAAAATTAATTTTTTAAAAAAGAAAAAAAGTACTGTTGTTATCCATTTCCCAAATGAACAGCAATTCTTTAATATCAGTACATAGTCATCATTCAAATTTCTACTGTTTGATTTTCTGGATGATTAAGGTTGCTATGTGGGGAGTATGTTTCTGTATTGCTCCAATTTGTGCAGAGTTTTTAATTAATAGAACTGATCCTCCTTTTTAAAAAACAAAATTAAAAATATGAAGCTTTAGATTGAGGAATTTGCAGGGCTGATTACAGGCCTGGTTTAAAAGAAAGCTGAAGTAGCTGTGTTGAGACACCGTGAACATACTAGTCGGTGGGGGAGACCCGTGAGGCCATCTCTGGGAACGAGGCCTGGGGGGCGGTGGTGTACAGGAGGCGGTGGAGGGTGGAGACGTCAGAGGGTTTGAAGTCCTGGAAGTGCCAGAATGCCGGAGAACCCTTCGCTTGACAGAAGGGTTGGCTTGACACGAGGCTGACCAGAGCTAATACTTGGTGAGCCACAAGTTTCCTCCTCAGCCTCTTGCAGCTTTGGAACCAGGATCATAATGGGAAAAGGGAATGTGCTTCTCAGAAATCTGCTTTTCCATCAATGTGAAACACATGTTCTATAACCCGGGGGATACGTAGGGTATTTTCTCCATTATCATGTTAGGGGAACCTTGGCAGGAGAAGCTGCAGTGACTCGCTCCAAGCTGAAGTCTTGTCAGCAGCAGCGCTGGGAGTGAGACCCAGCTGACTGCTTCCAGCCACGGCTCTTTCTGGATTGCAAAGGTCGATCCCACCTGTGTGGGTTGAGACACGCAGAAGGCATGCCTGTGTTCCCAGCACCAGTGCATAACACGCCCCTCCCCAGGCCCCAGAACAGTAAAAGCTGTCATCATACACATCTGCCCCCTTTCTCCCACACACACCCTGCCCCTCTCCTCTGGGCCTGCAGTGTCAGAATCTAACCTACAGCCTCCCAGCCTTCCCGGGGCTCCCGGGTCCTTGTATCCTGGTGCCGTGTCTGCTGGTGTGCGCATCAGCCTTGGGGCCCCTGCAGTCTGCTTGCCATCATGGCCATGGAACCCGCCCAAATGCGTGTTGGATGGATTCAATGCCGAATGCTAATCAGGAAAAAGGAGACCGTATGTTGGTTCCAAGGCTGGTCGTTTGGTTTCACAGTCTCCTGGCAGCTGTTCCTAGCCTGCACATTACTTTTGGTTTTATAAAGCTTAACCAAACAGATTGGGATCTCCAAGGGTGGTTTAAAATCTCGGAACTTAAACTGGCCGTGTACGCGCGAAGGGAATATGTTGTCCTCAGGGCAGGGAGGGCATCTATTGTAGAACGGGTGTGTTCATGGGTTTTCTGGCTCAGACCGTCCAATGTACATGGAACTGGAAAATGGCAGAGCTCAGTCCCAGTAAGTGATTGTGGTGGGCTTGAGGGTCCCAGGGAGAAGACAGTGAACAGTGTGATATACACCTGCTTCCCTTCTCTGATGCAGTGTCGCTGTATACTTGCTGCATCCAATTAAAGCAACGTGGTCTCTTTACGAATTCAGAAGGATGAAGGCGCATGCGTGCAAACTGCAAGGGAAGCTGTCAGGGTCCACGTCTGGATTCCACATCTGTTTGGGGAACTGGGTTCACATGATGGAGTAGCTGGAATGGGTTGTGATAACTGGTAGACAGTGTTTCCCTTAGAGCTCTGGGCCAGGTGTGGATAGAGCTGCTTGGAGAGAAGGTGGAGGTTGGGTTGTGTAACTCCGATGCTTTGTGTGTGCCTGAGATTTTAGGCCTGTTGTCCCTGTGGTTCCTGTCAGTGCGTTGGTAAGTGCCTAACTTGACTTATGCAGACCTTTTACTGTCCTGTCATCGTAAACGTGCTTACGAGTAAAGCATACCTTCTGGGAGTAGTGAATGAGTTTTGGAGAGAGAGATTGTAGGTTATTTCTTAGATTGTGATGTATTCTAAAAAGTCAGAAGGAAAGAGATACCTACCACTTACGAACCTGGGGACAGTGAGGGACTTGGGGATAAATGAATCTGATATCTGGGAGATAGTAATTTAAAATACCACAGCATTTTCTAGTAAGTAAGTAGAAAGTAAGTGATTCAGGCAACATTCGTTGTTACTGTTTAAGACAGTTAATTATTCTTACCCCTTTCCCTATAAAAATATAGAATGGGATTTTTTTATGATACCTTTCTTTCTCACATTTGACCAAACTCTCTGCTTTCAGAGCTCTGTTGGCTGGTGGTGGCTTTTCTACGTGGACTTACCGGCAAGGCTATGATGTCAGCATTCCTGTCTACAGCCCGCTGTCAGCCGAGGTGGTTCTTCCAGAGAAGGGACCTGGGTAAGGAGCTTTGGGGACAGCCAGTCTCCTGGGGCGGAGCCTGTGCGATGCTCTGAGACCTGGTGTGGCACCACACACAAAGCATCAGATCAGCCCAGGGGACTTAGGTCTGGCCTCTCTCCCCTCCCATCTCCTATCCTGTTTGTCCTGCTATTTCCCATCGTCCAGTACACTTAGAATGCTCTCTTGTCAAGTTCCCAAGGCAGAAGTTGAAGTGGTTCTCATCCCCTTTTGTTTACTTCTTGTGTCCAAAGAACAAGTCCCACTGTTTCTACATCAGCGCCTCCTAGCTCCGTCCACTTCTCTCCATCTCCTCTGCCCCTCACGCGTTTCACGTCATTTCAGCCAGTAGGAAGCTTCCCTTTGTAAAGCCTCCTGTGACACCAGTTATTCTCATCTGGAGCTGATGCACAGTTGACATTGTACCCCTGACATTCTCTTATGAAAATTTTCAGACAGATAGCAAAGTGGAAGCACTTTCACAGCCATGTGAACCCCTCACTTTCTACTTGGCTTATATGAGTCTTCCCTTGTTCTCGTCTATCCCACTAAACTTTAAACTTGGAAAGTCAGGTGGAATTTCCCCCCCCATTAGTTAGGTTTTTGGGTTTTTTAGCATTAAATAGGAGAAAAATAGGCCTATACAAGTATTTTTGGATTTTCAACAAAATGAAAATACAAAAAAAGTAAAAAAAATAAAAATAACGAACTTGTAGAGAAAATGATTTTATTCCCTGCCCTGATTTGGAACTGCATTTGCATTAATTGAGGGTCTATATGACCTACATCTTAGGAATGGTTTGTTCCAGTTTGACACCTTGTTGGTCATTTGCATTTCTGCTCCATAGGCAAATGAATCAGAATCTACATTTTAACGGGATTCTTCCAAGATTCTTATAATCCCAGATTCTTTCAAATACGTAAGAATCTTTTAAAAATGTTTGGACCAGTATGTTTGGGGTGGAAATGGAAGTTCTTACTAGGGGGTTGAACTGGAATGAACTGGTCTGAACAATAACACTAGGTTGGGAGAGAGAGCTCTGGTGGCTTGTGGTGGTTGTTATTGCTGTGTACCCTCAAGTCCCCCGTCACTCACAGCAACACTATACACAACAACTCTGAAGCCTGCTCTATCCTAAGTCAGTCTCACTTTTTCTGACAGACATAACCCCACTACTCACTGTGTCAGTTCATTTCATCCCAGTCTTTCTCTCCTGCACCATCCTTCCACTTTTCCAAGCACGATGTCCTTCTCCAAGGACTGGCTTCTCCTGGCAACATGCCCAAAATATGTGAGATGGAGTTTCAAAAATCCTTGCCTCCAAGAAGCAACTTGGTTTCATCCTCTCCAGGACAGACCTGTTTGTTCTCTTGGCAGTCCATGATATGTTGAATACGCTTCTACAACACCATAAGTCTAAGGTATCAATTCTGTCATTTTTAGTCATTGTCCAGTTCTCTGATGCATACCAAAAAATAGCAAAAGGAGCACCTTAATCTCTAGACTGACATTGCTGCTCTTCAGTGCTCGGGAGCGATCCCTGACACTAGGTTTTCCTAATGCAATTCATCTTTTGATTTCTTGGTGCCAAGAGTGTTGATTGTGGCACCAAGCAGGCTGAAATTGTTAACAATCTCAATGTCTTCTCCATCTCTCATGGTGTTGCTAGTTGACCCAGTGGTGAGATTTTTTGTTTTCTTGATGTCGAGGCTCACTCCATATTGAAGACTTATAGTCCTTGACTTTCTGCAGCAAGTGCTTCAGGTCTTCCTCAGTTTCAGTAAACAGGGTTGTGTCATCTACATAATGTAGGTTGTTGATGAGCTTTCCTTCAGTCTGATGCCACATTCCTCCTCATAAAGTCCAGCCTCCTGAATGATCTGTTTCATTTCTAGGTTGAGAAGGTATAGAGATAAGACATATGCATGACACAGTCCTTTCCTGATTTTGAACCTTGATGTGTTTCCTTTCTCTGTTCTGATGACTGCTTTCTGGTCCATGTATAGGTTTCACATGAGCACAATCAAATGTTCTGGGATTCCCATTCTCCTCAAAATTAACCACAGTTTGCTGTGATCCACATGATCAAATGCTTTTGCATAGTCAGCGAAACACAGACTTTCCTCTGGCACTCACTGTTTTCAGCTAAGATCCTTCTGACATTGGCTGTGATGTCCCTAGTGCCATGACCTCTTTTAAACTCCAGCTTGTATTTCTGGTAGTTCTCTGTCGATGTACTGTTTCACTTCTTTTTGGGTAATTTTCAGCAGGATTCTGTTTGCATGTGATATTGGTGATACTATTTGATAATTTCCACACTCTGTCACATCACCAATTTTTGGAATGGGAATACACACGGACCTTTTCCAGCCACTTGGAAAGGTATTGTCCTCCAGGTTGCATGGCACAATCTGGTGAGCACATGCAAGGTAGCATCTGTTTGTTGAAATATGTCAGTTATTATTCCGTCAGTTCCTGGGCCCTTGTTTTTGCCAGTTCCTTCAGAGCAGTGAGAACTCTTCCTTCATCATCATTGCTTCTTAATCATATGTTGTTTCATGAAATATGTCAGATAATTCATTTTGCTACATGGACTCTGTGCACTCCTTCCCTCTTCTTTTGATTCTTCCTAGATCATTCATTATTCTGCCCATAAGCATCCTTAAGTATTGCAACTCGAGGCTTAAATTTGTTCTTCAGTTCCTTCAGCTTAAAAAATGCTGAGTGAGTTTGGCCCTTTTGATTTTCTAACTCCAGCTCTTTGCACATTTCATTGTAATACTTTTTTTAATGCAGTTATGTTCAAGTCAAAGTTTTCTTGATGGCCAGCTTGGACCAAGAGTTAGGCTGTGCTATGGTGCTCAGTGGCCATGGGGGCACGTGTGCTGTTGTCCCTCCTGGGGACATCTGGTGACTGCAGGCAGTCTGGGTGGTAGGATGTCTGATTCAGAGACAACTCTCACTTGGCCTTCACTGTTACTGTGTAAATGTGCCCTTCACCTCAAACCACAGAACCAACCCCTAACCTACTGCTGTGAGTGGATTTGACCAACCTATATTTGCAACAATGTCATCACCATAATCCTCTTCACTTGTTGCTCGTGCAGCTTTTAAACCATTGAAATGGATTCCAGCCTTTTCTTGCATGGAAGCAAGGCTAAAATAAGAACTGCATGGCCCTGCTCCAGCTCACCTACAAATTCCATGTCAAGACTGAGTGACACAGGACAGCTCTTGTTCCTATGCCAAGACCACCTGGATTTGGAGACAGTTTTGACTGTCATGATCCAGGGAGGTGCAGTGATTTGCCAGGAGGACTTAGAACTCCGCACACAGCCTATTCTTGGCTCTGTTTTGTGGCAGAGAGGCTGCAAAGGTCAGCCAGCAAAGGGGACAGGCACGTGGGCACAGTCCAGGACAGACTGGAGGGGAGCCACCCCGGGACGTAAGACCCGCAGCAAGTGTGACAGCCTCCAGGGACATAAGGCCCCAGCAAGTGTGATAGCCTGTGTGAGATGCTGCCAATTCCAGACGCTCTTTAGAAACCTGGCATTCAGCAAGTTTTTAGGGTCTTATAGGAAGGAGAGTAGTGGAGTGGTTAAGGGGTGGACTACTTACTGAAATGTCAGTGATTTGAACCTACTAGCCAATCTTCAGGAGAAAGTCAGGCAGTTGCTTCTTTAAAGATTTCACCCTTGGAAACCCCATAAAGCAGTTGTGATCTGCCCAAAGGGTCGTTGTGAGCAGAAACTGACTTGTCAATAATGGGTGGTTGTTGTTGTTTGTTTTTCCCCCCCCTGTAGTCACATAGGCAGCATCCACCCAAATCAAAGACTTGCAGAAGGTCAATAGGTATTGAGTGTAAACCACGTGTCTGTGTGGTTTGGGCACAGTGAGCCCCTCTGTCGGTCTAGGGAGTGGTGAGTTGTTGTCAGGTGCTGTCGAGTTGAGTACAACACCTATCCTGTGCTGTCCTCGCCATCTCTGGTCCACTCAAGGCCATTGCTGCAGTCACTGTGTCGGTCCATCTTGCTGGAGGAGCCCCCCCAAATGCAGATTCTCAGATACCAGCCATGGGCTAGCCTTGTAAGCAGGCCTGTCCAAGGATAGCGGCCACGCCTGCTATGTTAATGTTGTCTGTATGCAGTGCTGCTGGTATCCAGCAGACAGAGGCCGGGGATGCTGCTTGACATCCTACATTATACAGAACAGGCCCACAACAAAGAGTTATTGGGTCCAGAATGTCAGTAGTTCTACAGCTGAGCAGCTCTGGTGGACACTTGTGGGTCAGTAAGGCAGCATGTGTGGCTCAGCTTGGCCGGATCTAGGTCTCCTGTTGGTTTTGTTGGAGATAGTTGCCCTCAAGTCAGATCCACCTCGGGGCCACCTCAGCTGTGCAGAGGAGAGCTGCCTCCTTCGGGCCTGCTGGGCTGTGACTTTTCAGAAGCAGGTCACCTGGCCTTCTGAGGCATGTCCAGGTGAGCTTGAACCACCAAACTTTCGATTGATAGTCCAGCACTTAGCAGTTTGCCTCTTACAGTGAAACTTTATTTGGATTTCTTAATTCCTCTTTAAAGTTAGTCTCAGGAAGAAGACATACTCAAGAGATTTTGTGAAAGCAAATCTAAAAACCAGCTGCTCTAAACAGTAAAAAAAATTAAAAAAATAATCAGGTAGTTTAAAAGATTAATACTATTATATTTTGGTGTTTTCTTAATCATTTAATCTCATTTTTGTATGAGGAGCCTTAATGGTGCAGTGGGGTTATGTGCTGCGCTGCTAACCAGAGGTCAGTGGTTTGAATCCACCAGCAGCTGAGTGGGGACAAAGAAGAGACACTCAGCTTCCCTAAAGACTTCCAGCCCTGGGAACCTCTGGACGGTCTCCAGGAGCCGCGGGCTCTGCTGTATTGGTCTCATTTTTGTATACAGGCATATGTTGGTGATACTGAGAGTTTGGTTCTAGACCATTTGCAGTAAAATGAACACAATAAAATGAATCCTGTGTATATTCCCCCCAGAGCATATGAAAGTTGTTTGCATTATAGTGCATCCTATTAAGTGTGCAGTAAACCAGGAAACCATCCCACTGCCGGTGAGGGGACTCTGACTCCTAGCAACCTTGTGGGACAAAACAGAACTGTTCCGCATGGATTTCCATGGCTAGAAATCTTTAGTCTTTTAAGGAACAGCTGGTGGGTTTGAACTCTCAACCGTCTGGTTAGCAGCACATTGCCTTAACCACAGTGCACCAGAGCTCTTTGTATGCAGTAGCATAATGGGAAAACTTGAGCTATTGTGAGATAATTTCCGAGGTGCGACACAGTGATCCACAGTGAACGCAGGCTTTAAAAGATAATGGCACCAATGGACTTGCTTGACATAAGCTTGACACAGACCTCCAATTTGTAACAAAATGTAGTATCTGCAAAGCACCAGAAAGCAAAGGAGAAAGAAAAAGAGGTATTCCTGTAGGCGGAAATGAAGATCTTGACTCACTGTTTCATTTATGGTCCCCGTTTCTGAAGTTCTATGGTTAGAGGGAGGATCCAGTGTTCCCTGCAGAAGGAAGGTCAGGGCTGCAGTGGGCAGGATGCGCCCTCTGCTGGCCAGTTGGCAGATCTCGCCTTGGACCGTCCTTGCCATTTCTCTGTAGTTTGGCCTTCCAGTTGTGGTGTTTCCTTAAATGCAGTCCTACACCTCCAAAAAAGATCTGGGGAGGACATAATGCTGAGTAAAGTACCTCAGTCACAAAAGGACAAATACTGTATGGTGCCACTGTTGTAGAAAGTGACTGACATCAGGGTTGGGGTAAGACTGAGAAAAACTGGATAGATTATGTATACTGAATTGAAACAGATGAGGGAGAGAACAGTTTAAAAGTGATATATGATAGCATATTAGGATTATCACAGGAATCCAGAATTAAGGTTGCATAGTGGAGTGCAGGGGGGGCAGGTTCGGGGTTGGGGGGATTGTATACCAACAAAGAAGTTTATCTTTTGCTTTTCAAAGAGAGGTGCGAACTGGGGGTAGGGGGATAAAGAAAAAAGTGCAACAATGAATGAATGAAAATCCAAAATCTCTGTAAATGTTAATTAAAATTAATAAAATAAAATTAAAAATAAAAAAAGATCAGGGGAAACTCTTCACCTCTAGGGCCTGAGAGAAGGCCTGGTAGGCGTCCGGCAGCAGCAGCAGTCTCTAAATGCACGTCTCTATGTGAGAGTCCTGTCGTAAGGGAATTCCCACGTCTCCTGGGGGCTCTGTAGAGTTGCAAGAGCGTTGTTTGGATTTTTATTTTAAATCGCCCTCAGTTTCACTTCAATGGGAAGCTGAGGGCTGTTGCTATTGATAGCCTCTTCTCACAGCTGTGCCTGGAATTCTTGCCATTTTCTCTGCACGAAGAACTAAATTGGGAGTTTCCAACTGTTCTACTGAGGGCAACTTCAAGTTCTCAGCATGGCTTTGCTTAAACTCTGCTATCAGCACTGCTGGGAGGGAACCAGAGAGTCATAGCTAGTGATTTTAGTCCTTCAAAGAAAAACAAACCTGCCTTCAAACTCTGTTTACTTTAAACTCCAGTGGGCAGGTTCCTCCTGCGGCTGCCCGGGAGCCTGCGTGCAGGAGGCATGAGTGTTCTCAGACTTGTTCACGTCTGCGTGTTTACACTGACCGTGGAGGGTGGTGGAATGGGGGTCGTGGGGTGACCATGGCCACTGAAAGTCTGAAATAGATTAAACTTTCTGTCTTAACAGTAAAATCTAACCCAGAATTATTCCATACATGGGTTCCTTTGGGCATAAATACATACTAACATTTGCATTCATTTCTGTATCTTGATTGGTCTCTCACTGGAAATCTCTGTGGATTGAAGGTGGCCTGGGGGTATAGCAGTTAAGCACTTTCCTGATAACCAAAAGGCAGGTGGTTCAAACCCATCGGCTGCTCTGTGAAATAAAGACGAGCAGTCCGCTTCTCTAAAGATCACGGTCCTGGAAGCTGTAGGGCGGGCTTATTCTGTCCAGTAGGGGCGCTGTGCATCAGAATCAACCTAATGGCAGTGGGAAAAATTGTGAAAATTATTGCTTCATATCAGTAACGCCAGTTCCATTCCACTGCACAGAGACATCCTGGATTTTCTCTGTCCCCGTATTTGTAACTTTCCCCCCCCCCCGAGGATGAGGAATCTGGTTCCCATTACCCTCAAAATGTCATGTATTTGGCCGGTCTTCTTGAACGTAGAAGGAATCCTGGTGGCACGGCGGTTGAGCACTTGGCAGCTAAGGCAAAGCCTGTGGTTCCAGTCCAGCAGCCACCGTGCAGAGAATGAGGCAGTCGGCTTGCACGTGGGTCTCTGGTCTGCGGGGCGCTGTGGGGCAGGTCCACTCTCTCCTGCAGGGTCGCTGCGAGTCACGGTCGCCTTGACGGCAGGGAGCCTTTCTTGGGTATAACCAGACCCCTGTTCATGTCACCCCCACATCACTGCCTAGTGCCCTCAGATCCTGACACCCCACCTTGTGCTGCTGCTGCTGCTTCTCATCTCTCTCCCCAGACCCCAGTGCAGGCAACTTCCTCATTCTCGGGCTTCAGCAGCCTGGACCGATGGCATCCTCCTCCTCCTGACAACGTGCACACGCTTTCAGCCTGCCAGGCCCTCACAGACTCTTCAGGGCTGCCCGGACGCCTTGCTAAGCACGCTTGGTCTCTGCATCCCCTACTGTGTGGCCACAGCCGCTTCCTGCCCCCAAGACAGGAGCCCTCACTGTACAGCCTCTGATACCCTGAGCCTAGTCAACCCCTGTACCCTACTCCAGCATCAAGCCAGAAACCCTCCTCGTCCTGCTAGGACTTGGACTCTGGTGTGTTAGGCTACCTTCTCCCCGAATCTTGCCGAAGCTTACTTCCCTCCAGCTTCAGCACCCAGGCCCTCCTACACGGGCAGCCTCTTCCCCTTTCCTCGGCACCAACATGCCAGTTCTTGTTCTGGACAATGTAGATCTACTGAGTCAGAAAGTTCTGGAAACATCTAGAAAGTTCCAGTGCTCTGTCAAGTCAACCCATACTTGGTTCATAGACCAGCCCTGATGAACTAGATGTTTGGAGGCCATTCATCCCTAACTTGGTGCGTGGCTATCTATCCACTGTAGCGTCTTAATGAGAGCTTTCTGACGTGAAAAAAATCAGCACCTCAAAGATAATGCATTTCCTTTTGAAGAGCTGTCATTGTTGAAGTGGTTTTCTTGCTTATTCTGTGGACTTGATTGTACACCTTTATCCTGTTTAAAGCAGACACAATTTTGACTCTAGAAAAACCCCACATAAAGGATGGTGTTCACTTCAGATGGCCTGAGGCCACTCTCTAGATATTCTGTGTACATTTCTGTGTACATCTCTGGGAATGGGGAAACAAACACTTTATGAAATAAAATTTATTGAGGCTTAGGACTGGGAGAAGAAAACTCTGTCCTACTGGCTAAAATAAATAAATACTTTTGACTATAAATATTAAACATATAGTGCAATAAACTGGAGTTTGGGAGGAAATCACCCCCAGATAAAGGATTTGGCTGGTCCACATCATGTCAGTGATGCGTCACTGTTCTCTATTCTTTCTCCCCTTGCCTGATAATGTCTGGGATGTGTGTGTGTGTGTGTGTGTGTGTTGCTAAAACATATGGTACTTGTGTAAAATATAGTCCCCTTTTATTATTTTTTTTTTTCAGCTGAATAAAGAAACTGTTAGTGAAGGGGTGTAGAGACTAATGAGGAATCCTAATACTCTAACATTGTTTTGTCTTGACTAACGTGCCAGCTACAGTTTCCACTCACTTTCTCTCTTTTCAGTCCCCGGCGGTACTTCCTCCTGTCATCTCAGGTGGCTCTCCATCCCGAGTACAGGGAGGAGCTGGAAGCCCTTCAGGCCAAACATGGGGACTCCGTGTTAGTCCTGGACAAGTGCTCCAATCTCTCGGAAGGCGTCCTGTCTGTGCGCAAGCGCTGCTACAAGCACCAAGTCTTCGATTACCCGCAGGTGCTGCAGGTGAGTGTGGTTCATTACCCCTTTCAGTAGAGTTCAGTGCAAAAGGCTAATGCACCAGCACATACAAGCTGTTACCCACATGTACCTGGGAGATTTACCCAAGGAGGGCAGGTAACGTAGTACAGGTAGTCTTCAGGACTTACTACACAGTTCTGTTCTAAAGCGTCTGTCATTCGTTCTTTCTAATGCAAATAGGTTACCTCTTTTTTCCCCCCATCTCAGTTTTCATTGTTACTGCCTCTTAGTATCTTTTATAAGTCTGATCTTTGTTTTTGGGGTTGGAAACATTACTTATGAACTTATAGAACCATTTTAACACTGTAAGTAATACATATCACTAGCAATAGACACAGCAAGCCAAAAACTCTCAGAGACCTCTGTCATCGAGGTGGTTCTCATTCATACTGACATATAGGAGAGAGTTAACTACCCCACAGGCTTCTGAGGCTGTAAATCTTTGAGGAAGTAGCTAGGTCATCTTCCTATTGTAGTGCTCCTGGTGGATTCAAACCTCTAAGCTTGAGGTCTATCTGTGTTTTATTTGTTATGCAAAGGCATTTGACTGTATGGATCACAACAAATTGTGGCTAAGCTTGGGAAGAATGGGAATCCCAGAACACGTGATTGTGCTCATGCAAAACCTATACTTAGACCAGGAGGCAGTGGTCAGAATAGAGCAAGGAAGCACTGTGTGGTTCAAAATCAGGAAAAGAGTGTGTCAGGGATGTGTCCTGTCTCCACACCTTTTCAGTCTGTATGCAGAACAGATCATTTGGGAAGCTAGACTCTGTGAGAAAGAATGTGGCATCAGAATTGGAGGAAGACTCATTAACAACCTGTGTTAAGCAAGTGACACAACCTTGCTTGATGAAACTGAGGAGGACTTGAAGCACTTGCTGCAGAAGGTCACGGACTATAGTCTACAGTGTGGATTAAAGTTCAACACCAAGAAAACCAAGATGCTCACTGCTAGGCTAATTGGCATCATAATCATTATAGAGTGAGAAGAGATTGAGATTGTTAACAATTTCAGCTTGCTTGGTTCCACTATCAACACTCACCAGCAGTCAGGAAATCAAAAGATTAATTGTATTAGGAAAATTTGCTGTCAGAGGCCTCTTCAGAGTGCTAAGAGAACCATGTCAGTCTAGAGACTAAGGTGCCCCTGGTCCAGAGCAATGTCTTTGCAATTACCTGTTATGCATCAGAGCTCTGGACAGTGACCAAAGACGACAGGAGAAGAATTGATATCTTTTAGTTGTGCTGCTGGAGAAGAGTATTGAACATACCATGGACAGCCAAGAAAACAAACAGACCTCTCCTTAAGAGGGTGAAGCCAAGCTGTTCCTTGGAGGCAAGGATTTTGAGGCTCTGTCTCACATACTTTCAGCATGTTGCCAGGAGGGACCAGTCCTTGGAGAGGAAAATGGTGCTTGGAAGGGTGGAGGGACAGCACAGGAGAGGAAGACCCCGAATGAGATGGATTGTCAAAGTAAGAGGGGTAATGAGGGTAGTAGGTGTATTGGAGAGAGTGAGGCTGGCTCAAGACAGGACAGGCTTCAGAGCTGTTTTGCGTAAGGTCACTGTGAGTCGGAGTTGACTCGATGGCACATAATAACAACTTTGAGGTTAGCAGCCAGACATTTTCTACACTATGGTAAGGTACACAAAGAAACCCCCAAACACGAGTCAACCCCGAGTTGTAGTGACTCTCCACTGACTTCCCAAGGCCGTAGATCTCTGTGGTGGGTTAACTGGCCAAACCACCTACATTTCAGTTAGAAACCCGACTCATTTATGCACTGCACCACCAGGGCTTGCATGGTTGTCTTAAGTAAGGTAACTTGAATACATTGTCCTGCATTGGAAATTCCCTATGGTGTGCTTTGCTGGATTTGTGGAATTTAGGGTGCTTGAATGTCTAATATTTCTGTGAATTTGCTTGGTTTTTTGAAGGCTCAAAGTCCTTTCAGATATTCATTGCACTTTAAAAAAATATATATAAAAGGCATATTGCCATGGGAAAGTCTGCTGTTAGGGACCTCTCCAAAGTACTGAAGAGCAATGGTGTCTCTCTGGAGACTAAGGTGCATCTGATACAGGCCATGGTCTTTGCGATCACTTGTAATGCATCAGAGAGTTGGACAGTGACCAAGGAGGACAGGAGAATGGATGCCTTTGAGCTGTGGTGCTGGAGAAGAGTATTGAGAGTACCATGGACTGCTAGGAAAACAAACAGATTCATCCTGGAAAGGGTTAAACCAGGCCGCTCCCTGGAGGCAAGGATTCTGAGGCTCCATCTAACATACTTTGGACATGTTGTAAGGAGGGACTGGTCCTTGGAGAGGGACATCATGCTTAGTAGGGAGGAGGGACAGCGCAGGAGGGGAAGGCCCTCTATGAGGTGGATTGATTCAGTGACTGGGGTAATGGGATGGGTGTGTCGGAGAGAGTGGGATTGGCACAGGACAGAGCGGAGTTTAAGGTCACTGTGAGTTGCAAGCAACTCAATGGCACATAACAACAACAGCATATACAAATCAGATGGATCTGCCTAGGAGCTGTGGCATAGCAGGCAAATGTCGTTTGCCCTAGCCTGTCTTCATAAGCCCGTCCAGAGGCACCTCTCAGCTGGCATCGGGCATCCCCAAACATGCTGGCACACAGGGCCACACACAGCTCTCCCTGGGCTGCAGGCCTGCCTTTTGTTATCTTGCTTGGCTGGCTTAGCGAGGCAGGTCCTGGGAATGGCAGTGCCTCATGACCACAGGCATCCAGCATCATCTCTTCCTTGAGGAATATTCTGTGAGCTGGCCGCTTGGCATTCCGACAGCGTGTTGTTCTGAGGTGCCGTGAAGTTGCTACTCCACCTTGTGTCGACCTCACGTACCAGAGAAGAGATGCCCCGTCTGACATCATTCTCACATTGTTGTAAGCACTGCGTCAGCCTGTCTTCTGGAAGGTCATTCTTTTCTTGTCTGGTTGACCCTCTACTTTGAAGCATGGTGTCCCACTCCAGGCCTGGCCCCTTCTGATAACTTGTCTGCACTATATGAGGCATGTTGTTGTGTGCTGTTGAGTGGGAACGGACTCACAGCTGACCCTCTGACTGTTTTCAGAGGCAGTAAATTGCATGTGGGGTGATTGTATATCTTCTTTCTCTGGAGCAGCCAGTGGGTTCAAACTACAGTGTTTGGGATTTGCAGTGCAGCTTCTTACCACCAACTCCCTACAAGAAGCATAGAGGCTCGAAAAGGATAGTGGGTTTTTCTTTACTTAGGTATTTAAAGATGCAGACAGGTTGATTCAAAAAGTAATAGGATGATGGTGGGTGGGTGTTTTAAATCATCAAAGAGAGCCGGCCCATGCTGAGACTGTTAAAATACTCGCTCTCTGAAAGTGCTGAAGCTTCCCCTGGAATGTCTGACTGATAACAGTGAGATGTGAGCAGGGCATTTATGGTAACCTTGTCTAGACAGGAAGAATGGTTATCAGCACCCACCTCCACATCTGGATGCCCCTACATCTGTATGCAGACGCTGCAGGTCAGGGGTGGCTCCACCTGTGAACGAGGAGGAGGTGGAGGCACCACGGCCTCCACGTCCCCGCCGCTGCAGCCCCCACACCTTTGTCCTCAGAGCAGTTTGTAGTTTTTAGTTTCCTCATATTTTTTACAGAACTTTTCCTTTACTTTATCTTTAAAGAGTAAACGGTTTGGTTTTCTAGTCCTTTTTGTCTCCCCCCCCACCTTTTTTGTTCTCTGAAGAGGTAACATTGGAAGAATCTGAGGGTCAGAGAACTGGGGCCTTTGTTCTGCGTGAGGAGCCCTCGTGGCCTAGTGCATTACACGCCAGGCTCCCAGCCAGAAGGTCAGGCCTTTGAATCCACAGTTGGCCTTCTGGAGAAAGCTGGGCAGCCTGTTCCTGTGCAGATTTACCCTCCAGAAGGCCAGTGGAGGGTCTGTGAGTTTGAACCCACTTGGCGGCAGTGAATTTTTGTATTGTTTATCTGTCATTTCCCTCTTACCTCAACACTGACTAGGCTTCAGGAGTGGATGAGGAAGGGCATTTCTGAGCTTTGGCTTTTTATTTACTTTAGTGTTTCTGTGTTTAAAGCAATGCCATCTTAATGCCTTTCCGAAACCCTTATATTTGTGCAAAGCACACTGCTTGCCCTGTGAGAGAATAGAAAGATCGAGAGAGAGAGAACGCCTTCCCTTTGGGGTGTCCTCAAGAGCTCTGGTGGTGCAGTCTGGAGGGAGCTGCACTGCTGACCAGAATCCATGCACCTCCCGCGGTTTGAATCCATCACTGGCTCTGAGGGAGAAAGATGGCTGTCTGCTGTCATGCGATTTACAGCCTTGAAAACGCCCAGGAGGCTCAGCTCTGGGTTGTTACTGACCTGGCAGTAGTGAGTTCAAGAACATGGGACATGCCTAAAAAATGAATTCTCTTACAAGGTTGCACAAGTTGGGAGAAATCTTCTATTTACTCTTCTTTGGTTTTGGTTGTGATAGTGGTATGCACTGAACTTCCTTGTATACATATGGATATTATCCTGTCACTCACAATATTGTATGTCAAGACAGATCTAGAAATGACTTTTTTAACTATGAAAGCATCCCCATTCTTTCTCACCTTTTCATCTCCAGCATAGTAGATCATATGATCGTCTGACTCAAAATGTCCCATGCCAGTCCATCTCATCTCACCAGTGCTTATTTATGTGTTCCATTTCTTCCTTAACAATATTCAATTTTCTAACATTCATGGTTCTCACATTCCATGTTCCAGTCACTAGTGTGTGCTTACAACTGTTCCTCCTCCTTTGTGTTTCCATACTTGAGGGCTCCACCTCATTTGCGCTATCTGATAGTCTATGTGTGTTCTCTTGTACATAGAGTTTTCGAAGTCCTGCTGTTTCAGAAGTAGATGGTCAATCCTTCCTAGTCTGTCTTGATCTGACTGTTCAGATTTAGAACAGTATCTGACAGACAAGCATTTTACAGAAAAGAGCAGATGAAAGATATTCCCCCATGGTAGAAATAACTAATAGTTTCATTGTTGTCCCCACCCTTGACACGTGTGTCTTGACTCACCCATTTCCCTGCTCCCCCAGCATTCCCTTCTACTCCCACCTACTTGCTTCATCACCTGTCTTCTGCTATCCAGCCCTTGAGATGATAGCTTATATCTCAAGCTTTCTGGACTTCTGTGATTCCAGACGCTTCAAGCTGCTGCCAATTTTTTATGCTGTGGCCAGTGTCTCTTGAGTTTAGGAGTCTTTAAGTCCAGATACCAGGTACTAATGTTAGGCAAGGCTTCCTATCTCAGGCGGTTCTGAGGAAGAGGACTGTCCCTTGAATTTATGCTCCAGGTTTGACATCTTGTGGCTTAGGGCTCCTTCTCTTCCCATTTGTAGCACACTGTAGTCACAATGAAATAGTTTCCCAAGGAAGGTTGATGTGTCCTGTAGGCTGAAGAGCAATGATTCCAGTCTGGAGAGTAAGGTGTACCTGATACAGGCCATGGTCTTTGCAGTCCCTTGCTATGCATCAGAAAGCTGGACAATATCTAGGGATGATTGATGGAGAATCGATGCCTTTGAGCTGCGGTGTTGAAAAAGAGTATTGAATGTACCGTGGACTGCTAGAAAAATGAACAGGTTCATCCTGGAGAGGGTTAAACCAGGCTGCTCCTTGGAGGCAAGGATTCTGAAGCTTCATTTGACATACTCTGGACATGTTGCAAGGATAGACTAGTCCTTGGAGAGGGACATCATGCTTGGGAGGGTGGAGGAACAGTACAGGAGAGGAAGACTCTCTATGAGGTGGATTGATTCAGTGTCTGGGGTAATGAGGGTAGGTGTGACGGAGACAGTGAGATTGATAACGGATAGAGTAGGGTTATTACAGGTCACAGGCAACCTGACCACTCATAACAACAACAAGATAGACTGAGAGTCTCAGACCCACTGCCACAACATGTTTGCATAGTGCGTCAGGCTGTAGCAAGGCGAGTTGTTGAATTCTCACAGGAAGTCTTTTTTTTTCTTTCACAGTGCTGACATGAAGTGACACCAAACAGTGGAAATGCAAAACTTTGCAAACTCATTTAAGTTTTCAAGTTTTACTAGTCTGGGCTGCCACCTCTCAGCATTTTCATGTCAAGGTGTCTCAGTGTTTTCACTGGAAGCGTTACTGCTTATGGGTGAGAGGAGAGAGCACAGAGCTATAAGAAGTGAATGCAAATGTTAGACCTTATACCTGGAAGTCCCTGGGTAGTGCACATGGTTAATATGCTCTACTTGGAGCGAAAAGGTTGGGGATTCCAGCCTATCCACAGGTGCCATGGAAGAAGGGCCTGGTGGTCTCCTTCTGAAAAATCCGCTGCTGAAAACGCTGTGGAGCCCAGCTCTGCTCTGACGTACGGCGTCGCTGTGAGGCAGGATGAACTCCGTGACCACTAGCTCGCTTGGTTCGTGGTTTACTTAGCACCTGAGGGTGGACCATCTCAGCAGAACTGCCTTGTGATTTCTTTCCTTTGCTCCCATTCCTGCAGGACGCTACTTTCTGTGTGGTCCTTCGTGGGGCCCGGCTGGGCCAGGCAGCACTGAGTGACGTGTTACAGGCCGGCTGCGTCCCCGTTGTCATTGCCGATTCCTACATCCTGCCTTTCTCTGAAGTTCTTGACTGGAAGAGGTGAGTGTTTCCTCCTAGCTGTCTTCAGACTGAAGTTCTGTGTGCGTGTCTTCCATGTAATTGTAATGCTTATTAGATTTGAGATGTCCTTGAGCCTTTCTGCCTGTTTCCCTACATTTACCTTTAGTGAAGTTAATAGGTAGGTCCAAAGCAGGAATTGGTGAAAGGCCGGGATTAATTAGCTGTCTGTTTTTATAAAGAAAGGTTTATTGAAACACAGCTGCACTATTCATTCACCTACTGTCTGTGGCTGCTTTTGTGCTTAGCCTGGCAGAGTAGAGTTGTTATGACGGAGATGGTAGAGTGTCCAAAGCCCAAAGTATTTATTATCTTGCCCTTGGCAGGAAACTACAGTGTTACCCCCTGACCTAGAACAGTGGTGCGTAATGACGCAGGATTAGAGTCACCGGGGGGAGCAAACACACAAAACCAACATCCTAGACCAGATCACTTCTTGTTGTTAAGTGCCTTTGAGTTAAGTACGACTCATAGCGACCCTCTGAAGGACAGATCTGAACCCTGTTCTGTCTTTCAGTATCCTTATTAGTCCCAATGAACTTGATCTCATTGTGTAGACACTAAACTCTGTGATATTGAGGGTCTTCCTCTCCTTCACTGACCGTCCACCTTTCCAAGCACCTTGTCCCTTTCTAAGAAATAGCCTGTCCTAACAACATGTCCAAAATATGTCAGATGAAGCTTTGCCATCTTTGCCTCCAAGGAGCATTCTGGTTGCACTTTCTCCAGTATATACCTGTTTGTTTTTTTGACAGTTCATGGGATAGTCAGCACATTTCTCCAACACCACAACTCAAATGCATCAGTTCTCCTGCCATTCTTGTTTATTGTCCAGCTTTTGGATGATACATAGCAGGTGATCAGAAATACTGTAGCTTAAATCGGGCACACCTTAGTCTTTTAACTGACATCATTATTCTTCAGGACTGTGCATAGATTCTTGACAGCAGTCTTTCCCACGTTATACATCTCCCAGTCAGGCTTTTCTCCATAGTCATGATATTGCTTGCTGGGCTAGTGGTGAGGATCTTTGTTTTCTGGATGTTGAGATGTAATCCGTATTGAAGGCTGCAGTCTTTGATCTTCTGCAGCAAGCACCTCAGGTCCTCCTCGCTTTCAGCAAGCACGGTTGTATCATCTACACAGCGCAGGTTGTGGATGAGTCTTCTTCCAATCCTCTTCTTCGTAAAGGCCAGCTTTAATTATTTGCTAATCATACAGATTGAATAGGCGTGGAAGAAGTATACAGGCCTGATGCACAGCTTTCTCGATTTTAAACCACGTAGTGTTCCCTGGAGACTAAGGTGCATCTGATACAGGCTATGGTCTTCACAATCACTTGTTATGCATCAGAGAGTGGGACAATGACCAGGGAGGATAGAAGGAGAATTGATGCCTTTGAGCTGTGGTGCTGGAGAATAGTATTGAGAATACCATGGACTGCTAGGAAAACAAACAGATTTGTCCTGGAAAGGGTTAAACCGGGTGGCTCCTTGGAGGCAAGGATTCTGAGGCTCCGTCTGACTTACTTTGGACATGTTGTGAGGAGACACCGGTCCTTGGAGAGGGACGTCATGCTTGGGAGGGTGGAGGGATGGCGCAGGAGAGGAAGGCCCTCTGTGAGGTGGATTGATTCAGTGACTGGGATAATTGGGATGGGAGTGTCAGAGACAGTGCGATTGGCACAGGACAGAGCGGAGTTTAGGGCTGTTGTACATAGGGTCGCTATGAGTCGCAAGCGACTCGATGGCACATAACAACAACAACAGTGTTCCCTTGCTCATTCAGACAACAGCTTTTTGGCTTAGATGCAGGTATCATGTGAGCACAATGAAGTGTTCTGGAATTCCCATTCTTTTTAATGTTAGCCATAATTTGTTATGATAGTCAGTGAAGCACAAATAGACATTCTTCTGGTATTCTCTGCTTTCAGCCAGGATCCATCTGACATCAGCAGTGATGTCCCAGGTTTCACAGCCTCTTCTAAACCTAGCCTAACTTCCTGGCAGTCCTCTGTTGATGTACTGTTCTAATCATTTTTGGATATTCTTCAGCAATATTTTGCTTGCTGTCATTCAATCATTTTCCACATTCTGTTGGATTATCTTTCTTGGGAATGGGAATAAATAATGGGTCTCTTCCAGTCAGTCAGTTGGCCAGGTAACTTTCTTGCAAATTTTCTGGCATAGAGTGCTGAAACATGTCCAGGGCTATGTTTATTATATGGAACATGTCATTGGTGTTGCATCAATTCCTGGGGCCTTTTTTTTTTGCCAATGCCTTCAGTGTAGCTTGAACTTTCCCCCTTATCAGTCACCATTGGCTCTTTATCATATACAGCTTCCTGAAATTTTTTGTCTACCAATTCTCTTTGAAGTCAAGGACTTTAGTCTTCAGTATGGATTGCAGCTCAACAACAAGAAAACAAAGATTCTCACCACTGGGCCAATTGGCAGCACCATAATAGATGGAGAAGAGATTGAGGTTATTAACAATTTCAGTTTCTCGGCTCCACAATCAACACTCTTGGCACCAGCAGTCAGAAAATCAAAAGGCGAATTGCATTGGAGAAGTCTGCTGTCAGGGACCCCTCCAAAGTGCTAATTAGAGTAATGATATTGGCCTAGG